TTTTTTCAAAGCATTTTTGAGAAGCTGGGTCCAACCTGCGTTGAAAAACTCAGTTGGCAAAACGCTTGCTTTTTAAACACCGCACTCCGAAACTCAGTTGGCAAAACGCTAGCACCCCACTAAACATAGGGTAGGACTTATCCTAGACAATTCTTATTAACGGCGCCTAAGAAGATCTCTATTTAAGAAAACACTTTTGAGAAGCTGGGTCCAACCTGCTTTGAAAAACTCAGTTGGCAAAACGCTAGCACCCCACCAACACATAGGATAGGACTTATCCTAGACAATTCTTATTAACGGCGCCTAAAAAGATCTCTATTTAAGAAAACAATTTTGAGAAGCTAAACTCAGTTGGCAAAACGCATGCTTTTTAAACACCGCACTCCGAAACGCTACCTTTTAGTCCCTCTATTTAAGCACACTAACACAGAAGGAAGGAACCAGACATTCAGAGAGAGATGGCAATGAAGGAAACTGCAGATGCAGAGAAGGCGTTGAAGCACTTGAACTCAGATGGGGAAGAAGACCTCCTTTGCTCCAAAACAGAGCACCACCCAAAGGAGCCCATGAAGCTGAACTCGATCCCATCTGAAGATCAAAGCAAGGCTAAGCCATGGCAGTCGTTCAAACCAAAACCTGGAAGTGTCCTCCCGGCAAAGAAGAGGTCCGTGCTGAGGATGATGTTTGATAAAATTGTCCAATGCTTTTGCTCTGTTTCAGATGATACTAATAGTCCTTCAGCTTCTGCTGGAGCCTCTGAAACCACATCAAACGCCAACAAGGTCATCAGCAACCACGTTTACCCGAGCCCTTAGCCCACCGCCATAGATATGGATACAGGAGCCGATTTAGTCTGTTTCTTTCTGGTAATTTCAATGGTGTTGTTGCTGTAGTTTTTTCCTGGCTTTCATAAATGCTACTGGGTTTTCTTTGATCTCTTTCTTTCTGGTAATTTCAATGGTGTTGTTGCTGTATTGTTTTTATGGCTTTCATAAAATGTTGGGTTTTCTTTGATCTCTCTCTCTCTCTCTCTCTCTCTCTCTCTCTCTGAGATTAACAAACAGAGTTTTGTTCTATTGGACATATCTGAATATGTGAATCTGTGTTATTGCTGTGTGTATGTATGTGTGGGCTTTCATGGTTGCTTTTTCATATTTAATTTTGAATCGGCCAAAAAGATATGGTGAGCTGTGCTGCTGCTGCTGCTGCTGGGTACTGAATCCATCGTTATGGCTGCAGAGTAATTAGGATCTGCAAGCCCACAAAGAATATCTGCTATATATTCATGTCATTTCAGTACTTTTTCTTCTTCCCCACTCCGTTATGCAAAATGTCTTCCTCTTCTCTGTCACATGGTCCTCTACAGCCGTAGAGAGATAGCCACCATTTTACAACTAAATAGTAAGAGGCTTCAAGCCTTCACGCCGTCTAGACAACCCAGAAAAGCTTAACCCCATAAATAGTTAGAGATGTTTAGCCAAATTAAGATATGATCATATGATATGTTGTTGAAAGAAAACCATGACTTTCCATCCATCAAATTATAATGGAGGACCGTCAGAAGAAAAACATTACTTTTAAATTTACCATCTCCGGGCGTTTCATGATATTGTTTATTATTATTATTCAAAATCCCATCATCACCAAATCAGTGTCACCAATGAGTGACTAGGAGACTATTTTTTCTTTATTTTTTTTATTTTTTTCCAGTTAATTTCCATTTTTTTTCTTTTACTTGAAA